GATTTGTGGCTGAAGACTTTCCCACATACCTTACAGGCAAAGGGGCTTTCCCCACTATAAATTCTCTGCTGACTGAGGTGTGACATCTGAATGGAAGCTTTCCCACATTCACAAGGTTTCTCTCCAGTATGAATTTCTTGATACACGAGGATTTACTTTTGACTGAAGATATTTCCACATTTCTTACATTTAGAAGGCTTCTCTGTATGACCTCTCAAATGCAGAAGAATGGATAAGATTTGTGAGAAAACTTTATCATCTAGCTAAAGGCTTTTCAATACTCTTTAGAAGCACAAGGTTTCCCTTCAGCATGACTTCTATGTTCAAAGAAATGTGATATGTGGGTAAAAGTTTTCCCACATTCAGTAAACTCATAAGGTTTTCCTCCAGTATGAATGCTCTGCTATCAGATACTATATCACACTGTTTATACTGAAGGCATTTCACACTGCTTTACACTWATAGGGGGATATTACCATAAGAAATAAGCAGTGGTAGAGAACATCCAGCTAGTAAAATTGGAGACTCAACTACATACCTTCCCTCATAGTTAAGTCTAAACGGTTTCAACCTAAAACTTCAAAAATGTTTCCTTAAAGAAATGAGGTTGAGCAAACAAAGGATTTTTCCAATTTTCTTATATCCACATCCTTTTTTCCTCAGTCTGTAGTTTGATGAACACAACTTGCCTCCCAAGTCTTGTTGCTTCTCTATCTGTTCATCATCTTCTCAGGCTTTTTCTAAAATGGAGTAAAGAATGATAATTTAGAGGAGTTAATAATATATAAAATGCTATAAAAATAATATATAAAATAAATATATAAATAAATATATTAAAAATAATATATAAAATCATAGGTGGTGCATGGTGAGCATTCATAAATATTACCTTTACGTTACCATCACTATTATTTGTGAACGTTCCCATTACCAGCAATAAAATATTAAATTGTGCTTTTTGCTGGTAGGCCATCTCCCAGAAGGAAGAAATCCATATGAACAACGTCTCTAATTAAATTTTCAGAAGAGAACCATTAGAGGGGGCATGTGAGTAAAAGCCAAACTTGTGGGTTCACAAAGCTTAGACCACTCTTGAAAAAACACTGCCATTCCCAAATTCAGCAAAAAGCCTAACAATGAGGAACTGCCAAACAGATAAAAAGATGACCATATAAAAATGAGAAAGTTGTGGTTACTTGACTAGCTCAGTCCACATACCATAAGACTTAAATGAGATGTTTAAGAAAGGGAAAAGATCACACAACTGGTCCCTACCAAAACCAGATTAAAATAACAAGGAACATGGCGATGGGGTTGTGGCTAATCGGCAGAGCACTTGCCTCACACGTTTGAGGTACTGGGTTCGATCCTTAGCACCATATAAAAATAAATATAAAGAATAAAGGTATTGTGTCCAACTACAACTAAAAACAATTGTATTAAAAAGAAAAATAACAAGGAACAATGGTACAAACTCGTAAGAAAAAGTATATGTAGGAGACATAGGACACAACAGCCATAATTTTTCAACAATGAAAGATTTTTCAACGCACAACAAAATGTCATCTGTGGGGGACTGGGGATATAACTTGGCTGGTAGAGAGCTTGCCTGATGTACACAAGGGCCTGAGTTCAATCCCCAGCACCACAAAAAAAAAAAAAAAAAAAATGTTACTTGAGGAAGCTCATATAATATAAAGATCCTGTATAAGAGGATGACAATGTTAATCAAAAGCTGATTTTTATTACAAAATATCAAAGAAACTCAGTGTGGGAGACCAACCTTACATGTGACTGGGACATACCCCCCAGCTGGGTGCTGAGGCGCTCAGTCCCAGAAATGTGGCAGAGCTTTCCCCACCCTTCTTGGGTTCAAGTGTCAGTGTCTCATGTGTCTTGCTACAGCCCCATGGGTGAAGCTATGCTCACCTGTTCCTTTGTAATRTAACCCCTTGCCCTGTTTAGGGTAGAATCTTCCATGGAAGTGCCTCGTGTGTGTCCCCTTCTTACTGTGCCCTTAGCCTACCCAGGTATCAGTCAACCTACTGACAGTGGACATAATGAAGATAGACTCAGCCCCCTGAAAACTGACCCCTTGACTCATTTGAATAGCTTCTTCTCAATAAAAGGGGTCAGCGTGTACTCTCGCTCTTTCTACGGACCCTTAAGGTCAGAGGAGCCATCACAGCGACCCCAAAGAAAAAGATATTTGTGTCTCTTGTGTGGTTATTTCATGCAGCCCAATTAGCCCAGTTTAACTGGAGTGACTCCTGAGCCTTTTAGTCGTGAGAACAGAAACCCAGCAAATCAGGAAATGAAGAGACACAAATATCTCATAAAAAGGAATAAAGGATAGTAGCCAAATAAAAGAAAGTATGATTGCCAGCAATTTGGGAGGCTTAGGAGAGAGAAAATTGAGGCACAATTTCAAGACCAGCCTTGGCAACTTAGGAAGACCCTCAACAACTTAGTGAAACCTGTCTGAAAATAATAAATAAAAGGACTGAAGATATATAGCTTAATGGTAGTACATCCTTGAATTTAAATTCCTGTACTACCACGGGGGTGGGGGGTGGATAGTATGACATTTGGACTTGTAGTCATCCAGTCAAAACAGACAAGGACTAACCTCTTCATATCAAGTTGACTAATTCTTTGTAGAAATTTAATCAAATAAGCTGCATCCTCAAGGGCACCCAGTAAATCAATACTCTTTTTTACCCCTGGTACTGGGGTTGAACTCCACGGCCTTGCGCATGCTAGGCAAACATCCTACTATCAAGCCTTAATGAGATAACGTGCAGAGCCACTATGTTGAAACCACTAGGGTTAAACCTATATGTAATATGGCAAGACTTTCAGCACCACATTACATATAGATTTGACATTCAGCAGCGGAAGTCAAAACAATGTTGGCACTAAGGTATGCATACATACCTATGAGCAAGATATTAGAGGATCTTTCTCTGAAGAAACCAAAAGGCCCATGATAAACATTAAACTAACCCAGAAACAAAAGCACTTATGATACCCTTTTAGTGAATCACTGGTAAATATGACTGCCATAAGTATTTCACACACATTTGAATAACCCTGCCAAAACATAAGAAAACATAAAAAAAGAAAAGAAAAAAACAGCTTGGAGGAAATACAAGCAAGACACAACAACGAAACACAAATACCAATCACGGAGAGTTATAGGAAGATATTTCACTAATGAAACAATAACAAGGTTTTGTGAGAAATAAGCATTAAGAAAAAGTTCCCTTGTGGGGCTGCGGTTGTAGCTCAGTTGTCGACTGCTTGCCTAACAAGTGTGAGGCACTTGGTTTGATCCTCAGCACCACATAAAAATAATTAAATAGCCATGTGCAGTGGCTCATGCCTGTAATTCCAGCAGCTTGGGAGGCTGAGGCAGAAGGATTTTGAGTTCAAAGCCAGCCTCAGCAACAGTGAGGCACTTAACAACCCAGTGAGACCCTGTCTCTAAATAAAACATAAAAAAAGGACTGAAGATGTTGCTCAGTGGTTAGTACCCTGGGTTTAATACCCAGTACCAAAAAAAAAGAAAGAAAGAAAGAAAGAAAGAAATTAAGAAAGGGAGAAACAAGGATGAGGTAGACTAGGTAGAGACTGTGTTACCATTTACCAAGAACAGGGTCTCCTTACTCCAAAAGAATTGCATGACCTCCCTCTAACACTTTCAGCCATGGTTAGGTAGGTATAGGTACCTTGTTTGTCAAACATCATCACAAGTAGCAAGTAGTAAAAGCTTTAAGGTCAAATTCAGAGGGTAACCAAGGAGATAATATCTTAGTAAAAATCGTCTCAAAAAAAAAAAAATGAAAAAACTGTTTAGAAGAACTATTCAAAGAACAAAAAAAATCTCCTCAAACTTTTCTTCTTTCTTTTTTTTAACGGTGCTGGGGATTGAACCCATGGCCTTGTGCAGGCCAGGCAAACACTCTTATCGACTGAGCTATGTCCCCAGTCCAAATTTTAATTTCTTTAGGATGAAAACTCAAAATCCTTTCTTAAAGCTTTCTGAAATATAAAATATATTATAGTCACCATACTGTGCAAAAGCACACCAGAGCATCTTATGCCTATAAATTTATTCAAAACTGGATTTTATACAATAGTACAAAATAAATTTTTTTTATATAGTTTCAAATCCTACATTGGCCGACGACAATCTCAGAAAAGGAAAAAACAAAACAAAACAAAAAAAAACCCTTGTCAAGCATGGTTATAGTACCAAAGAATATTCATCACTACTTGAAAAGGCTATTAAAATACTTCTCCCCTTTCTAACTATATAGAAAAATGAGGGCTATGTAAAGCCTGATTTTGTGGGCATATTTCTATCAGAACATTTCACAACAGTTAATATGGAGAATCCACCATCTTGTATTAAACCAGACAAAGATATTTACAAATATGTAAAACAATTCCCTTTTCTTACTACATTTTTTTGTTTTGGAAAATTACTATTTATTTATTTGTTTGTTAATGTTGTGCTGAGAACCGAACTCAGCGACTCACACATGCAAGGCAAGCGCTCTTACCACTGAGCTACAACCCCAGCCCGGAAAATTACTGTTTTAATTAGGAAATGTTTAGTTTACCTATAATCATTTTATTTTTTTTTAATATTTTTTTAATTGTAGGTGTACACAATACGTTTATTTTATTTGTTCATTGTTTTTAATGTGATGCTGGGAATTGAACCCCGTGCCTCATGAGTGCTAGGCAAGCACTCTACCACTGAGCCACAACTCCAGCCCATTTTTTTTAAAGTAAATTAAATTTTTTTAAAGTAAAGTATCTCAATTGTATTTTTTATACTTTTTAGTTGTAGGTGGACATAATGCCTTTATTTACTTATATTTATGTGGTGCTGAGGATTGAACTTACTGCCTCACATGTCCTAAGCAAGTGCTCTACCACTGAGCCCCTCAATTGTATTTTTTTAAGATAAATATCACCATATAAACCAAATATTTTAGAGGTACTCAATTTTTAAAAAATATAAGTGATTGCTAATGGATATAGCATTTTTGTGGTGATGAAAACACTGTAGAATCAGATAGCTTTTTGTATCCTTACTATGTGCATGGCACAAGTATAGGCTCTAGAGAAACTATACTGATTAAAACTGAAAAACCTTCTGCCCTCAAGTTTACGTTCCAGTGGAAAAGAAATGATTTGCTAACAAGTTACTAAATGCTATGGAAAACAGTTAAGGAAGGAGTCGAGTTTCAATCTTATGTAAGGTTATATCTGAGAAAGCAAAAARTCCCTCAAGACCTGAAAGAGATTTATTGATTGACTGATTATTTACTTTAGTGCTGGAGATTGAACCAGGGCCTTATGTATGTGAGGCAAGCTCTCTACCAACTGAGCTATATCCCAAGCCTCAAGATATGGATAGCCAGAAGAAATAAATTCTCAGCTTTCATAGGCCCTAAAGAAGATCAAGAGTGGTAAATATATAAATAGTAAGTCACAATTTTCCATATCTCGTTCTTCATATCCTTCTTAGCCTAATCTCTCCTATCTTTTAACCTTTGTAGAATCCTCCTGGAAGGAATTCCAAGAACATTACTCTTAAATGACCTAATTTTATCTTTTAAAATCCTTTCTCTCAACTACTAATAACAATCATATTCACTTTTCTAAAAYACATACATACTGCCCTGCCCACCCCCACTCCACCTTACCCCCACCCCAGCGCTAAGAATCAAGCCAGGGGGCTGGGGTGTAGCTCAGTGGTAGAGTGCTCATCTAGCATGTGCAAGGCCCTGGGTTCGATCCTCAGCACCACATAAAAATAAATAAATAAAGGCATTGTGTCCAACTATACCTAACAAATTGTTGGGGACCACAAAACAAGTCAAGATGGCGTCTGGCAGTTTGCCAGGAGGAGTGGTTTGTGAGGCAACGCCACAAAGCCATTAAGATGGTGGGGATTCCTTATTGGCTGACTGCTGTATCTAGATGATGCTAACTGAGTCAAACTGTGTGTAATCAGTTAGGTATATATACCGCTGTTGTTCCGTAATAAAGCAGTTCCCGCTTCAACCTTCAAGTTGCTTGTCACTTCCCAGTTATTTTGCCCAGCCGGACTGCGGCAACAAATAAATAAATAAAAAGAATCAAGCCAGGACCTTGACCATATCAGGCAAGTACTCCACCACATACATACATCCCCAGCAGACGAAATTTTTTTTAAATACAAATTTATATATTGCAAAGTCCTTTAACATCCTAACTATAATTTTAAAGGCTAGATAGTATCAATGGCTTTGCTCTTTTTCTTTTGGCACATCTGACAGTATACATTTTAAAAATACTAATATCAGGGGAAAATGATGGTGAGGGGTAACCATTTAAAAAGGCAACAACCAAATCTCTTAACTAACCCTGAAATTAAAAAAAAAACAAAAAACCCAAAAACCTATAAAAGATATTTTGGAGACAACTGAGAAACTTGAACTAGATAATCTATAATATCAGAGCATTATGGTTAGTCTTTTAAGGTGTGGCAATGGTATTTTGGTTATATGGGAGATTTCATTATTTTTAGAAAAGATATAGTTAATTTTTTAGGAGTGAAGTGTCAGGACATTTTGGTACACAAAACAGATATAGACACACATAAAAAACAACAAAACATTAATTATTCAATGCATGGTGGGTATATAAGATTACTGCAATACTCTTAAATTAAAACTGTCCATTTAAAAAAATAATAATTAATTAAGAAGCACTCTTCCACAACAATAATTCATAGATTAAGAGCACCACATGTGTACTCAAAACTGCCAACAGGAAAAATAAAACACAAGCATTCTCTTCAACAGTTTAGATATCCAAATATAAATAAAATTTACTGAAGACTTTTAAATTTCTCTAGAAAACACCAAATAGGATGGACAATCAATGGGCTGATCAAAAAAAGATGAAATTAGTAGGAACATTTTAATGACAACTTAATTCAAGTTTAGGGATGGTACAGCGCTGGCCAGCACATGTGATCCTCAACACCACTTAAAAATAAATGAATAAAATAAAGGTACCATGTCCATTTGTAACTAAAAGCATATTTTTTTAAAGTTTAAATTTTTATTTGGGGGGCTGGGGATGTGGCTCAAGCGGTAGCACGCTTGCCTGGCATGTGCGGGGCGCTGGGTTCAATCCTCAGCACCACATAAAAATAAAAAAATAAAGATGTTGTGTCCACCGAAAACTAAAAAATAAATATTAAAAAATTTAAAAAAAAAAATTTTATTTGGGGGGAGGGTGTAACTGGGGATTTAATTCAGGGGCATTCCACCACTGACATCCCCAGCCCTATTTTGTATTTTATTTACAGACAGGGTCTCATTGAGTTGCTTAGCGCCTCACCATTGCTGAGGCTGGCTTTGAACTCACAATCCTCCTGTCTCAGCCTTCTTGAGCTGCTGGGATTACAGTGTGCGCCACAAAAAAGTTTAAATGATAAGCAGTACCTGCATAAGTAGAAAATTTCATAWTCAAAGGTCAAGATTCAAAGAATTTTACAGAGAAAGAAATGTTCATATTCATAATCATATGGTCTATGTTCTCTTGAGTACAGTGAAGTATACCTTTTTAAAGGYCTCAATGATCATAAGAAATAATCCAGACATAATATGAAACTGGTCTGAGATGATCTCTGGATCTGAAAATAATGGAATAAAATTTCTAATTTGGGTAGAGTATTAATCTTCCCTTATCCTCAAGGAATACATTTCCAGACTTCCAGTGCATGCTTGAAGCCACGAATAGAACCAAAATCTATAATATGTTGTGTTTTTCCTTTAATTTACAAAATTATTCACAGTGAGAGTAACAACAAAAATAAAAAAATTATAACAATATACTATATTCAAAGTTATATAAATATAAACTCTCCCTCTCATTCTCTACTGTCACAGGCTGAACTGTGTATACAGCATGGACACACTGAATAAACAGAGGTTCACATTCCAGGACAACGTGAGACTTCACCCAATTACTTAGAATGGCAATTGTCTTAAGAACTGCTTATTTCTGGAATTTTTCATTAACATTTTCAGAACACTATGGGTATCTGAAATCATGGTAAACAAAAATTAAGGATTTCACTGATACTATGAGAATAAAATCTGATACTTGTCTATCCAATTAACAGGTAAGATGATGGCAGGCAAGACAAAAAGCTGTAAGTATCCAAAAATAATTTGTAAAGGGTCGGAAGAAAGGAACAAGCCAGGATTCTGGAAGCCACCTCCATAAGAGGATGATTTATGATAAAGAAAGACAAAAGTAGGGGCTGGGGTTGTGACTCAGCGGTAGAGCGTTCGCCTACATGTGCAAAGCCCTGGGTTCGATCCTCAGCACCACAAAAAAAAAAAAGGTATTCTGTCCAACTATAACTAAAAAATAAATATTAAAAAAAAAGGAAAAAATGAGACAACTGTGATAAGCAACATCACAGGTACCAAAGCACCAATCAAATAGAAGTAACAGCATTCCAAGAGGGGTGATTCCAAAATAATAAACAGACTACTTTGATCATTGACATTTTCTTAGTACCTCATACCTATTAGTAACTAATACCTATTAATCAATACTTGTTAAATACATAAATTTATCATGTTGGTAGAAATATACATTGGTTACTTCTCTTGAGAACAATGTGCATATTTCAATCAAACCTAACTTTTACTAAATTTTTACTTTTACTACATTTTACTTACATTTTTTACTTACTCTTTAGTAAAAGAGATGCAGTTTTGTCTGCATATCTCTGTAAATCAATATAAATAAGCATGCATTCTGGTATCTTCAATAGCATAAGTCTGAAAATAGCCTACACAGCCATTAATAAGAGACAGGTTAAATACATTATGTATTGATGAAGAATTCTTTTTTTTTTTTT